GAGGTCATCTAGAGTCATATGCTCTAGTGTTGCTTGTTCAAAGAGAAACATTCAAGGTGCACATTCTCTAATGCAAACAACTTGCCCTTGCTTGGTGTAGCCTCTGTCTTATATGGAGGAGGGGAATTACAGAATGCAGCTAGCAACTTCAAATGCCTTTATAAATGTGAAATGCCCTCCAGAGTCTAGTGTGCTTGAACACTTGGTCCCCAGCTGATGGTGTTGTTTGGGAAGGTTGTGGAACCTAGCCTCACTGGGGAAGTAAAGTTTTATAGCCCAGCTGCTTCCGGTTTACTTTCTGCTTCCTGACTGCAGAGGGAATGTGACCAGTTGCTTCTTGTACCTGTTGCCAAGCTTTCCCTGCTAGGATGGACTGGACCCCTCAACCTGTAACTCAAAACAAACCCTTCTTCCTTTAAGTTGCTTCGATGTCACAGCAATGAGAAAAGTAATCAATACAGCCCCTAAGATTATATAAATAGCTAACATATAGACAAATATATTCCTAGGGTAAAGACTGAAGTTTTCAAAATGCATGTTGAAATCTTAGCTCCAAGTCCTCAGAATTTGATCTTGAATCGAAAATATGATGATTACAGATGCAATAAGTTTAGATGGGGGGTCATAACATACTGCGTCTGATGTCCTCATAAGAGGGTAAAAGACAGGAGAGACACTAAAGGAGAGCCCCCATGATGACAGTGGGAAGAACTGGAGCTAGGAATGTTGGTGATTTCTGGCCACCACCAGATGCTAGTCAGAGGCAAAGAGGGATTCCATTCAAGTATCAAGGAGCATGGCCCCAGCAACACCTTGAGATTAGATTTGTACCTTTAGAACCACGAGATACTGAATTTCTCCCTTTACTACTCAGTTTACCACACTTTGTTACAACACTCTAGGGCATTAATATCTAGGGTCTGAGCAGGTTATGTGGAAGTGGTTAAAACAAGAAATTACAGGGGCTAGAGCAGTGGCTTGGTGGTTAAGAACACTTGCTGTTCTTCTGGGTTCGAACACCTACATACATGCAGGCAAAACACTTATATACACAAAAAAAATAAAATTACAAAAAGAAAGCATTCACAAGGATGGAATGAAGACAAAGATTAAAACGGGAGGGGGACCATTCTTCTGGATTTGATCTACATGTAGACACATGGAGTTGCTGTCTGTTTAGAAAATCCCCCATTGTTAAAATTTCACCATTAGGACCAGATGGTCAATAATCCTGGAGAGGCAGAAATGAAGTTTTCATGAAGATGTGTAAGGAAGATTCATTTACTGGTCTCCTTTGACAAGGGGAGGAGGCATGTGCTCTGCGCTACTACTGGAGTTTAAGTAAGAAAGACCAAGAATCTTGGAAAGGCCCACAAGATAACTCAGGAATCATGGAGATGCAGTGATCACTAGTCTGTCAATTCAGTGAATACAGGAATGGGATCTTTCTTATTAGTTTTTTCATAGCCACACTTCTTTTTATTAGCATATATTAACTGTATAAAATAACAGGTTTTGTTATGCTATTTTTGTATGTGTATAGTGTACATTGATCATATTCATTGTTTTTTTCAGTGATAGGAATCAAACCCAGGGCTTTGATCATGCTAGGCATGTTACACCCCTGGCCCTTGTCCATTCTTAATACCTCCTAGCATCTGCCCAAATGCCTTCCCCCTATGAACACACAACAGGATCTGATGCTTAACAAGCTAATGAAAATCCACTTCAACTTTCCAGGTCCAGTAAATAAGGCCTCTCTTTGGAAAGCCTCTCCCATACTCCTGTCCCTTCTCCCTTTGAGTTCTGTCTCTAAATGTCCGTTTCATGTCACTGACCCAGGGGTCTAGTATATGGGTGTCTTCTGTGGGTCTCCCCCTTTCAAGTTTCTGTAGGCATGAAATTATGCCCTTAGCATCTACTTTTTCTTAGTTATCTATTCCCAAAGTCCAACGTTACATTTTCAAAGAACAAGCAAAAATCAAGCTCCCTTAGTTGAGTTCTAGGACCTCAGCCTAGGGCGAACTTAAACCTCTGTTCGCATTCATCATAATTACCTCTGCTGCACAGGGTTGTTGAGAAAACATACTTGAAGTACATGGCTCAGGGCCTGGAATGCAGCTAGCAAGTGTTAGCATTATTTCATTATAATTTAATAACAAACTGACTGATAAAAACCTGTCTGCCATTTAGGAAGCTAATGGCTGCTTCAAGTTTGGCCCAGGAGCTGATTTTCACCTGATTTGCAGTGAACCAATCTCAGCTCCACTGCTACTTTTCCTGAGGTTTCTAGTTCTCAGAAAAGTGCCAGTCTAGCAGAATCCTGGGACATGGATGTGCATTACAGTGAAGCCAGTTCAGGGCTTGAATTTGGGAGAAAAGTAGTAGCAGGCTGCAGGAAAGTCCTCCCAGATAAACCTTGCTTCCTTTAGTTTTGCTTAAAACTGCTAAGAAACTGTTTAGTATTATCTTGAGTTCCAAGTTCAACAAGAAAAAAACTGTAAGGTGCCACTACTGTGCTGAATTTATAACAAAACTTTTCCTCGTCCAGTCTTCATCTTTAAATGCTTCTGTGAAGTTCTGTTAGTCCCGTCTACTGTGACGGGTGTACAACGGAAAGGTCAAAGGCTGAGGTAGGTGTATCTTTTTACACAAAGACAAAGGATTCAATCCCAGGAGAGGCAGACATTCAGGACAGGAGGTCCTCACACAGTCGAGCGCTTTTCTTTCTGGTTTACCTCCTTCAGCACACTGTTGCTGCACAGGGAAGGATTTCTTCCTTTATTAAGGTGGAATCATTTTCTACTTTCTTTATCTACCCATCCTGTGGGGCTGCCTTTTATAAATGGACATAATCTGGACTAATGACTTTTAACTAAATGCAGCAAAACCACATGCCCTTGGGTCTTGTGACCTTGGCGCCTTTTCTCCTGAACTCGTTTCCTAGGCAACAATATGGTACTCCATCCTAAAAAATGAATAAATATGGGTATGCTTGAGAATTACTGAATCAAAGTGATGAAAGGCAGTGCCCCATCTCCATTGGACACATGGAGATTGGAAAGGACACGTGACCTTGAATGAATGGGATATTCTAGTAGAGATGAAAAGGCAGGATGGTTTGTTAACATTAAGGTGGAGCCAAACCTGTACTGCCCCCATGAAACTGGAGAAACCATTTTGAATAAAAAATGTGGGTGTGGCCTGATGAGGGGACACCAAGTTCTGGAAACAGGGTTCTAGAGAGTTCTATCAGCACAGGTTCAGGGAACAAGGCAGTTCCATCAGCACAGCTTCACAAGACAGACAGTTCCAAGAGCTATCCAGGGGAATGGGTGTCCTCCGAGGGCAGTTTGCGATAGTATTTCTCTCTAGTTCTCAGTGATTTGAATGTGACTATGCCTTCCAAAAAGTGGGTTTTCCAGATGACTATTTTGGTGTATTACTGTTGATTCACTTTGAATCATATATATATACATACATGAAGATCATATA